AACAATATAATGGGCAGAAGGAATCACTTAGAGGAACAGAAGGAAAGATTCGCTACCAAGACAACGGTCAGATATAAGAAACCCGAATTGGGGGTTTGTGAACTTGACAAAACTTTCTAAACAAAACGCTCCCTAGTTCTCATGAAGATAAAAGGGAAAGTAACTCAGACTTGCAAAAGTCTGCTCCACACCCTTATAATAAAAATAGTATTTGTTGTATATTAAGGCTTCACTCCAGTCCACTATTCAAATGAGAAGAGAGATTCATCCTGATTGGCTGGGCGGCTGGCAGCTGACTATAAAAAGAGCTGTCAGACGGAGAATCATCTGTTGCTGTTAGCTGACCTGTCACTATTAGCCAAGCTGTTAGAATTAAATAAAGAGTTAGCTAAACATTATTTCTTTTCTTTTTTTATTAAACAAATCTTACATCATTAATCAAACAGTGTTTGTCATCTGAGTACAATTTTTTGTGTAATCATATTTAACATTTACTATCATTTTAAATATATTTTTATCTTTCCATTTACCTTTCCATTTCAATTACATTCCAATTCAGCTTCTCCCCTATAAATCTGCTTTCCTTCCCAATTTATTTAATTTTATATCTCTTTTTGTCTATATTTGTTTTCTATCCAGTGATAGAATCTCCCCCGTATATTATAATACTCTGATTCTTCCTTCCCTTTAATTGCCAAAGTTAATCTATTCATTTCTGCACAATCTAATGTTTTCTTAATTACCTCTCCCTCTGAAGGGAGCTAAACATTATTTCTGTCTCACCTCCATTCTTCCACCCTCTGTTCTTGGAATAGAATAGTATTGCCCTGCATAACTTTCCTCATCTGATCTACTCTCAAGAGTGATAAAAATGTAGATCTCCTGCTTCTGTTTGAATCCATGTAATAAATTCAAGCTCACTACTTCCTTTAATAACTAGTTCCCTGTTAGAAAATCTTCATTCATCAATAGCCACCAATGAAAGTTTGGGATTATTAGGACTGGCTTGTATAGACTTGGTTAGTTTATTCATCATAGTTGAATCATAGTTTATTGAATATGGCACTGTTGAGTTGCACAGAATACTATGGCAAAATTAAGCAAGCTGTGCTAAAGACTGGCCTGCTGACAATGTTAAAAATAATAGTAATAATAAGTTATTACACTTTTATTATATACTAGCTGATAACCAGGTGTTGCCCAAGTATTTATTTATCCTAATCCTGTATTAGACCGAAAAATGAGTGAATTATATTTATAGTGTTAAATCAAAGTAATTTTATTTACAGGGTTTAAAAAGTATAAGTAGAGTACACAAATTATAAAGTAAAATGTTTCACAAATTCACTATAATATTAATTCAACAGAAAACCTGATTTTTAGTTTTTAGTTTTACCTCCAGGAGCAAGTATAAATAAATTCATGTATGTTTGTTTGTTTTTAAGAACCAATCCCCCTTACCAGAGGGAGCCACCTTGTGGCGTACTATGAAGCCACTACCATGGCAACTCCACTGTGCTATACAATAGATACCATTTTAAGGCACAACAGGCTGTATCTTAATAGAACTTGAATCCCAAATGCACACTATCATTGTCAAAAGGACTGTGATTTGACACTACAGATATAATTCATTCCTTTTCATTTCAGCGGCCCAGGCATTCCAGAGTTATGCTGGAACATACACACACACACACACACACACACACACAGAGAGAGAGAGAGAGAGAGAGAGAGAGAGAGAGAGAGAGAGATTTATATATAGAAGATTGCCTTCCTCAGGGAGAGTCTTAATTAGAACTGACACAAAAGTTTTGCTCATATGTGTTAAACTTTTACCTTTGTCATCCCCATTCTATGTTTAATTATATTGTCATTCTTCTTTTCAACCATGGTGTTCTATAGTATAGATATAATTAATTCTGCCCTTGATTCTAGCAGGATCATTCCAGAAAGAGAGAAAATTATTTATTTACCTCCTGTGGTGGGTGACAAGTTGCTAATAATGTCCTGCTTGTGTTCTTGCTCAAGTCAGCCACCCACTCTTGCTTCCTTATCTATTTAACTATTTTCCTCTGCACATCTTTGATCTTATCTGTTCTAATGATTTTCTTCAAGACAAAATATGGAGAGATCAAATGACAGCTTTGATATCTCAAGCAATCCAATTTTTATTTACTTACTTACTCACCTATTAAATGTATATGCTGCCCACATCAAGCAACTCAGGGCAGCAAATACTCTACAGAACTTTAAAGATGATTTTCAAGATGCCACAGCAAAGTGTTGTTAACATTGTAATAGAACTGTCATATTTCTTGCCTCTTTCTGTTTCCCCATCCCTTCCTTATATCAAACCAGCACTATTCAGCTTTCATTTATGTATTTTGACCTTTGGTCAATTTGAGTTGAAGACAGACATAACAAACCTGATAAAGTGAGTCTAAACATGGCAGTTTGGAAAGTCAGATAAGAAAAACATTTTATTCTCCCTCCTGTCCCCAGAATCAATGCTTTTGAACTCTGAGCACTTCAAGAATGCAAATAGAATGATGGATGCCAAAGGAAAATGCAGACTAGCATAACCAGATGATTATCCTATAGAGAGGATTTGGTCAGGTAATGGGACAATGGAAGTTGTTGCTGAGGGAACACAACACAGGAATTGACATTTTAGTCTTGCATAAATCTCCAAGACCAAAGATCGACAAATGATAAAAATAGAGCTTGCCAAGTAAAATCACATCAGGTACACTTCAGTTAAAGCCAGGCTGGTAAACACATTTCTCAGAAAACTTCTTCAGGGCCTCCACTGCCTGAGTGTGTGCAAGTCATCCTTCAGGAGCAGTCAAAAGAGAGCCAAAAGTTCCCATCTCGGAATTAAGTCTGATCTAAACCCACCTGACAGGATTTCTAGATGTAATTACGCAAGGGAGAAAAAAATCATTGCCCTTCCAAAAATAATATACGAACTAAAACATAATTATATGTCAATAATTCCCCTTCCCCAAAGCAGGATTTTACCAGCAAAAAGTAGCAAATGCTGCCCCTTCTGGGATAAGAGAGCTGCACAATTTAAAATAATGTGAGCTTTTCTTACTTAAAAAAAACTGCACAAGTTAGATCTATATCCACTTCTGTCCTCCTCATTATATTTGCTCACTTTATTACCCAAGATAAACATTGGACTATGATTGCCAATAAAGGAATAGGTGGTTTTCTTTCCCTTACATGCATGTTTTCTTCATTTCGTCTTTGGGTCTTACATTCCATTACCATTCCCACCAGAGGGTGCACACATCTTTTCTTGTTTTAGCTCACAAGACACCTATTTAACTATAAAGCTGAATATTGAAATTTTTTTACAATAAGATTTCAGAATTAGTTATAAAGAACAAATCTCATGGGATATACATCCTGTTTTGGTTTTTCTAAGATTTAATAAAGAAAATCAATTTCATTATTTAAAAAAAAATGGACATTATAGCCGACAAAAGATTTTAGAAAGAGAAAAGATATATAAA